ATCGCGATCCCGTCCCTCCAGACGATCCCGTTGAGCCAGGTCTAGTTTATAAAAATGATAATCAGTCAGAAATTTTGGATTTGCATGAAAATGGTAGCGAGAGGAGCGCACCAGCGCGTGAGCCAAATGAGCCGCACGGCCCTCCGCCGACGCTTATTTGTGATCCGCACTTGGATGCACACACTGTCGTTAGCGATTTTCCAGACGCCAAAAATTCTCATCATTCCCCTGATCAATGCGAGAATTGCGGAAGTGCGAAAATTGACCCAGCTATTTTAGCGCGTACTTGTTGGAATTGCCGTCGTGTCGGACATCATTATCGGCAATGCACTGTGCGAGTGTGCAATACGTTTTGCATCGGCTGCGGCACGCAAGGCGTATCAAATGTAGATTGCAAAAATGAGAGTTGCCGTCGCAGAGGACGAAAATCTCATTGCTTTGCTCGCGTTCATTTGATTAACACGGCGAGACAAAAATGTTCACGTTCAGGTAGCGATTGGAAACGACACGTGAATAAGATTAGGACCGATGTAATTAGACGCAAACTTGGTGGCATTTTGCTCAAATATAAGCACGAAAATACAAAGTCAAAAAGCGCAAGAGAAAAATCAGAGTCTTCAGAAAATCAAAAAGCAATCTCAGATGACGATCGGATTTTTCTTGAAGTAAAAATATTTGATATTTCTTCTGTTGCACTTTTGGATTCAGGTGCATCTGCTTGTATTTTAGGTGGTCCAGGCAAGCGTTTAATTGACAAATTGAGATTAAAATTGCAAAAATCGAATATTGCCAATGTTGAATTAGCAGATAATTCCAAAAAACCAGTAATTGGAGAAATTGATTTGCCAATTTGTATTGAAGGACAAACTTTTGTAGTAAATTGTTTAGTAGTGCCCGCGGTAGAGCAGAGTTTAATTCTTGGATTAAATTTTTGGTTAAAAACCGGATTTGTTCCCGATGTTTCACGGGGTGAATGGTTCTTTTCCTCTGATGTGGCGCATGAGATTCCGAAAATTTATTCTCTAACGGCGGATGGTGACAAACTTAGCGCGGAGGAGAAAGAAATTCTCGCGAAAACGATCGCCGAGGTTAAGAGCAATTTTCCCAAAGGCTTAGGTCGCACAAATGTAATGGAGCATAAAATTGATACTGGCGATGCAAAACCAGTGAAAACCAAACAGTTTTATATTCAACCTGCTCAATTAAAAATAATGCACGCAGAGCTTGACAAAATGTTAGAGTTAGATGTAATTGAACCGTGCATAAGTCCTTGGTCGAGTCCAGTATTTCTCGTTAATGGCGAAAGTAAAGGTAAAGAGCCGCGATTTGTTGTGGACATGCGTGAAGTAAATAAAGTAACAGTGAGCGACGCGTATGCAGTCCCAATTTTGACAAGCATTTTGGATGGATTAGGTGATGTAAAATTTTTGAGTTCAATTGATTTGAAAAAATCATATTGGCAAATTCCATTAGATTCTGAGAGTAGATTAAAAACAGCATTTTTCATACCTGAAAGAGGTCAGTTTTGTTTCAAAGTAATCCCTTTTGGAGCTAAAAATTCAGGTCCAGGTTTCATGCGAGCAATTGATTTTGTAGTTGCGAAATCTTGGATTAGAAAGTACATAAGGATTTATATTGATGATTGTTTTGTTGCAACCCCAACTTTCAAATTACACATTAAGGTGTTAATTGAATTATTTCGTTTACTCAAAGAAGCCAATTTAACTCCAAATTGGGAGAAATGTAGATTTCTCAGAAAATCAATTAAAATTTTAGGCTACGTGCTTGATGAATTTGGTTTGCACACCGATCCAGACAAAACCGCTTCAATTTTGAACCTTCCTCGTCCCAAAAATTGTACGGAAATCAAAAGATTTTACGGCGCACTTTCGTATTACCGCAGATTGATCCCAAATTTCAGTGTTTTAGCTGAACCCCTCTTGCGACTTCTCAAAAAGAAAATTCCCTTTGCGTGGAATGAAGAGCAAGACGATGCGTTCGTCAAGCTGAAACAGGCCGCTGTTTCAGACACAGTCGTGAAACTGCCAGATTTCAACCGTCCATTTTATTTGCACACTGATGCATCTGATGTTGGAATTTCAGGAGTTTTGACTCAAGTTTTCGATGACGGTGAACACCCAATTTTTTACGTCAGTCGTTTATTAAATGATTCCGAGAGAAATTATATAACAATCCAAAAGGAAGCCCTTGCGATAGTTTGGTCCATTGAGCGATTAGCAGGATATTTAAGTTATAACAAATTTTTTGTTGTTACTGATAATAAGCCTCTAAAATATTTGCAAGACCATAAAAATCCCAAAGGCAGACTTGCGAATTGGAAGTATAAATTACAGGAATTTGATTTTGAAATAATTCACCGCCCTGGCAGATTAAATGTTGTTCCCGATATTTTATCTCGTTCTTTCAATTGTAGTATTAAAGTTTCAGCAATAACTTTGAATACCCCAATTCGTGACACATGGTATTTGAGCATGATAACGCGCGTGAAGGAAAATCCAGCACAATTTCCACTTTTCAAAGTAGTTGATAATAAATTGTATAAATTGAGTAAAAGTTGGAATCCCTTAGATGAAGCCGAATTTAAATTAGTTGTCCCTAAGTGCTCGAGATTAAAGGTTTTTGAAGCAATGCACAATGCCCCTCAATCAGGACATTTTGGATTTTACAAAACATTCAATCGAATTTCAGAACAATTTTATTGGCCCAGAATGCGCGCAGATATTAGCAAATTTGTTTCCCATTGTAAAACGTGTCTAGCACAAAAACCAGTTCAAGCAGCTCCTGCTGGATTAATGAATTCACATCCCGTAAATTCACCTTGGCAAGTTGTGTGCTCAGATATTGTGGGCGAATTTCCGCGTAGCAAAAATGGTCACAAATATGTTCTTTGTTTAGTAGATTTGTTTACAAAATTTTCCATTTTGATTCCCCTGAAAGACGCAAAAGCAAATGCAATTTGTAATTCAATTGAGAAAGTAATTTTTTCGTACGGAGCACCACAATTAATGATTCAGGATAATGCCAAAAATTATTGTAGCAATCAATTTAAAGATTTAGCCAGAAAGTATGATTTTAAACTTCAATTCACACCTCGTTATCACGCGCAAGCAAATCCAACCGAACGAGTAAATCGAGTTTTCGAAACTGTCATGAGATGTTTCATTCAAGATGATCATAGAGAGTGGGACAAATTTTTACCCCACATAGCTTTTGCCATGAATAGTAGCCGACATGAAACTACCACTTTTTCACCCTATTTTTTGTTTATGGGCAGACAGCCAAGTTTTTCAGGTTCAAACGCAATTTCATCCGAGTCAAATTTTGACGACCCAAATCAAGTTAAAAATTATGCAAATCGTTTTCCGAAACTGAAAAAGGTCTATGATTTAGTTAAGCAAAAAATTGCAGACGCTAATCAAAGAAATAAGCATTATTATGACTTGCGTAGACGACCTGGTGATTTTAAATTAGGCGATAAAGTGATGAAAAAGAATTTTGCAATTTCAAATAAAGGCTCAGGCATATCAGCTAAGTTATTACCCTATTTTGTAGGTCCGTTCATTTTGAAAGAGCAAATCGCAGAAAATATTTTTCGATTGGCAGATGAAATTGATGAAAAGAAGGATATAGGAATTTTTCACGTCAAAGACCTTAAAAGGTGTCCAGCACAAAAATAATTTTCCTTCGTAAAATTATTTTAGTGGCGCGGGGAGATATAAGGAATATTGGGATATTTAATTAAAATTATGAAATACACAAATATATCCATCCCTAATACACCCTGCCTTCCTTTTATTTTGCGTGTGACTTTATCATCATTTCACTCGAGTGCCGTGTGTAAATGCGAGAGCAGCAAGCAGAGAAAGAGAAGAAAGAAAAGCGGAGTGTGTGTGTGCCGGTGAGCGCCTGCATTTATGCAACCAGCTTCACTTCCAGAGCAGCACGACACACACACCTCCCACCTCTCAATCAGCAAACCACCCAGCTGATAACAGCAGCATAGGTGCCAAGGGCAAAGGCCATTGGCCTCGTGCGGTTTTCGTGTCAGTCGCCTTGCAGACGTCAAGTCTCAAAAGTCGGCGCCGCTCGAGGAGCGAGCGACCGAAATCCTCTCGTCAATTGGAGGTTCCAAATGAATTGTTGGAGTTTCTAACGTAAGTTGAATTATCCGCAAAATCCCTTTTATAAATTTAGAGCGACATAACCCGTTCGGCCTTCTGACCGTTCCATCCCCGATTTTTGTAAGGCAAATTAAACTGACCGAATTTCGCGCACACCCTAGGCGCCCTGCGGGGCCGTTCGATCACCATCAACTGGTCCGGCAACGCAGAGCCGTCCCGGCGTAATTGGGAGCGAAGTGCACGTCGTCCATTGCGTGACTTCTCGCTGCTCATCGGAGTCCGTCACCCTGACTCCCGAGGTCATTCCGCTGCACCCTGTGCAACCCCAGCCTGACTGCAAGCCAGCGCAGTTCAGCTCTCTGCAAGATTTCTGCTCGTCTCTTCACATCATTAAAGCAAGTACAAAACCCCGAACCGAGTGCAAGAAATCGAACTTGTAATATTCGAGTGATTTTCTCCGAGTGCATTCAACTATTATTTTCAAATAATATGTAAATCAATTATTTTCCTACCCATCCTAATTCCTACCTACACAAACAATACAAATTTATAATATTCATGATTTGAATTAATTTACCGATTTTCCATTATTCTCTAATTAAATAATTTTGAATTGAATTTTCACCAAATAAAATCTTTCTTTAATTCTTTTCAAACTGCCGATTTTGATTTGTTTTTCATCTTGGAAAGATCTGAAATTAGTTTTTGAAGTTGTCTGAGTTAATTAAGTTGAGGAAATTAAGCCGAACCTGCGATTAATAGGATTTGATCTAACCCTGACATAGAGTCTAACAAGTCGTTGTTATAAGTTTATATTATGTATTGAAAGAGGGTTGATATATGGAAACATGAACTAACCATTCGATGCTCCTGTAGCCCCTTGCGCAGCAGTGGATGCTTTTGAACTTGGCCTCGAGGACAAAGTCGGACTTGCCGACCTCCCTGGTGAACTGCAGGCCGGACGCGTTGTGCGTGGCGTTGAAGGCGAACTTGGTGCAGAAGTCCTTGTTGTCCTGAGCGCGCGCCCCCAGCGCCACCCCCAGCGCCAGCACGAGGGCCACCTTGCCGACGATCATCTTCACACGCACATTCTTCGGCACTCACTGCGGCGCGGCGCAGCTGGCCGGACGACCTGCCGTCCTACCTGCCCGCCGCCGCCGATGGAAGGGGATTCCGAGGAAGGCCTTCAAGGTCCAAGTCGCCGGCTGCGGAGCAAGCGCGCTCTGTGCACCTCGCCGCAAACCTCCAGCTTGGCGCCGGCGTCGAACGGGAGCGCCAGCCAAGCTCTTCGAGGCTTGGACGTTGGCTTGGACTATTTTAAAATAATATTGTGCCGGCCTTGTTTTGTTTGTTGATAGCGGTTTCGACGGGTTGATCCTGGATGTATAAAAAAATCGGAAATTTACCAATTCCTAATCAGTATAGGAACTAGATGCATTGCAGACTAATTTTGAAACCGCACACAAAGCGGATGCTTTTTTCTTGAAAAGTTGCATGAGGTTAACATGCACTTATATATATTCAAAGTAACATAATACAAATAAATAAGTTTTTAGCATCATATACTTTTTTTGCAATCATTCTTTAAGAGAAATCAGTGGAAATCAGGAAATTTTTCTACACTGACGTTAAGATTTTTAATTGCAAACTTAATTTAATTTTCTTATTCTCTATTCCAAATTTAAACGAAACAAAGTTTTTTTTTTAAATATAGGTAATTTAAATTGAATCAATTTTCCTCCCTTAATTCTCAGACCCCTCGAATTCATTTTTTTTATTTTTTATTAAGAAATTATAAAAGTATTATATAGAACTACTTTGTGTTGATACTTCAAAAGTTTGTCAGTTTGGCACTTTTTTCTATTTATAAAAAGAACGTAATCGCAATGTATAAAAATCGTGAAAGGAAAGTTTAATTTTAAAATAAAATAAATCTCTCATAATATAAAAAATAAAAAGGTGAGTTTAAAATAAGTATTTATTTTAAGACTATATTGTCAGAATTATAGCTTTTCAAATTATTTGATTATTAAACTATTTTTATATTTTAACAGCAAACTAGTGTTAATTTTTTTACCAACTTTTTAAATCAAATAACGTTCAAGCTTAACAGTTCTATAAATTTTACATAAATTTTTTTAATAATAATTAAAAGCTCTTAATTTAGACTAGATCACGAATATGTGGTTGGCTTTTGAATGAATTTTAATGTGCGACAGTGACATTCGTAAGATGCATTCAATGATACAAATCAGGAAATGCGAATCCACGCGTTGTGATCTTGTGCTGGCCGGTTGAAGGATTTCCGACCAGCCGGCCGCCTTGATAGCACACACGTCCTCTAAAATAATGAACTTGTAAAGACAGATATTGAAAAGAAATTTATCAGAAATTAATTTCACGAGATTTTTTATGAGACTCATTCACACAAAGTGTTTCCTTCCTTCTAGATGATAGAAACTAGAACGTCTACGTCTAAGACTCTCGCTATTTCATAATTTTGAGTAAAAATGGAGAAAATCGTTTGCTGTAGCTGCATTTCTTAAAAATTAGTGATTCAAAAGTTTGCAAACAAGTAATGACATTCTCTGGAGCTCTGCCAAAGAAATAAAATTGAAATTTTAAATTTAATGGATTGATTGGAATATAACAGAGTGCATAGAAAATTTATATTCAAGCCTGGGAAATATCAACATCTCGGCAAACGAAAAATCCAAAAGCTGTTTGGCACTGACGACATTTATGAACGTCAAGTAAAGAGATTATTATGATTATGCCTCTATGCATATTTCCGGTGTGTAGGAGAAAGACGGATGAGGAACTAATCAAGTACGTATATGAGCCAGCTGACGGACGTGTGTGTGTTGTTGCAAAGCAGATCAGATATCAAATAGTAGATACAATGTATGAAGCAAATATACCAATTTTAAGTAAAAAAAATAATAATTATAATCAAAGATTTATTCACAAATTTTGGTATTAAATTATGAAAAATTGAAAAAAACTGGATAAAAAAAATTAATAATTAAATACTTAGACTACGTTCAAAATTTCCATACATACCTATCCAATTATATATTATGCAAGCATCTAAACCTATAGATAAGCCAATGTCATGAATCACGGTGTTAAATTATTAGGCTGATTAAAATCATATAATTTCCAGCATGAAAGGAAAACAGATAACTTTTGTTTTCAAGCCTGCTTTTTCAAGACTTTTGGCTTATCTAGTTTTAGTCGCACATAATAGGTCAAATTCGAAAATACTCTGTTTTTGTTGTTGCCCAATTGTATAAAAGGGTTAACAAAAAATATTTTAAGGTTTTTATAGCTACATCTAATTCCACCCACTTTTTGATCAGATTATGTTCGATGTAACCACCAAAGCTCAGACGCCACCTCAAACTCCTCCAGGATTTACTTAATCTGCTTACGTCATATTCAGAAACACTCCTCCTTATAAAATTTCCCTTATAAATATAAGGAAGCTAGAGAATATATCCATCATTCGACCTCTCTCCAACCACGAAAAACCAACATGCAGGCACTGATCCCGAGTCTTAAGACGTTAGTCGTAGTGGTGGTATTAATTATAGCAGTAGCGGCGGGACAAAAGTTTACCAGGACGAAGTAAGATAATTGATCTTATTTTATTTTCCTCATTGAAGCTTAAAAAATCAATTGCATTTTATTTTTTACGCTTTTTATTGAAAGTTGGTAGAATCTTTTAAGGACTCCTTATTGACATAGTCAAATCAAGACAAATCAACAATGGTTTGTTAAGTTTCCAATAATTGCCCAAAATAGCTTTCTATTGTTGAAAAGGCTTGATTTGACTATTTCAAAAAGGAGTCCTTAATAAAAAATCTAAGTCACAGTTCTGTTACTTTTTATTTAATTAAAACTAAATATGGTTTTTAATATTTTTTCTCTGTTATAAAAATATTAGAATTAACTTATTTATTCAAATAATTATCAAACCTCAGAATTTAAAATTTTAAATTATTTAAATTTTAACAATAAATGCGCTAGAAAAAATATTAGTAAAATTTTATTACATCATTGTAATGTGTGTAAAAAGATAATACTAACTTTTTATCAATCCAAATCTAATTAAATAAAATAGTATAGATTTCTCGATTTTCCACTGATATATAAGTAAGATAGCACGCCTGTGACGTACAATAAGTTCATAATCCACCATTATATATATTTTCAGGAATTATGGTCTCACGTATGAATTTCCACGGTTGGAATCAAACTCCCAGCGTAATAAATCTGGGTTTCAAAATATGGCATTGTTAATTAAAAAATGTTTATCATAAATTCCAGAAATAGTACGATTGAATTTCACATATGTTAAATTAAATGGAGATAGTTCAAAAACAACGTATTTAATTGATGTGGAGAGAGAACATAATATATTGGAAGTATTGAAAGTTGCGGAGGATAACAAGACTTTAGAGTTTGTTAACAAGTCTTCAGTAGATAATACGGTAAATTGAGAAATTTGGTGTATGATAAAAATAAGAAATTGAATTTTTTTGTAGAAAATATTAAAAGAATTGAATTTGCATTCACCCTACTTGTTTATGAGATATGCGGATTCCATAAAACATCACGGCGAAAGACAATTAAACCTTCAACTCTTCATTTCCTTGAAAGGTACATGGAATTTTTGTATTTAAAAGACCATTGTATTAAATCTTATGTTTTTTCTTTATTCACAGCCAATGGTAAATTTTTGGCTCCAAATGCAGATGGCTCATTGCATTTAGTTGAGATGAACTTCCAGACTAATTAAACTTTGGAACCTTGAATCTTTGGAAAAACCTGCGATCTACAGCAATATTTTTATGAAAACCTCGTCGCATTTTTCAATTTTTAGTTAGATATCTGCAAATTTTGTGATTTATTAATAATGAATCTCTTATTTATATAATTTATTGCGGTATTTATTTTATTTATTGTGGCTTCTGAATGTGAAATAAAAACCATTCGTGTTTTTACTCAATATTAATCTAGTATTTTTTTAATATTCCTTTAATTAATATGATGTTTAGTTATACATTAAAAAGTCTATAACAATTATTAAGGCAGGTACACGTTTGGGCGTATCAGCCCATTCTGTAGCACAAAAGTCTTTCCTCCATAAAGTTTTAACAAATTGTAAAGAATTGGTCTAGTTATACATTTCTAGAAATTTTCCCCCACCAATGCCCAGAATTATGTCAATCAAATCTTGGAAAGTCAATCCTTGCAGTCTTGCGTTGACAAAGGCAACAATACGTTGCACGGCAGCATCAATGATGGGTGCTTTTATTTCATTGAAAATAATTGGTGCAAAATCGTCAATCATGTCATTTACAATGGTCCCCATTGCACCACCGCCCATGATGCCCATCATATTACTCTGAAATTTTTAAATCAAAATTTAGGTCACAACAGAAAATTACAAAGACAAAATGTCACCGAAACGGCTGCAATATTAATGTCAATTGGCATGCTCAGAACTTGCACTGAGCCGTTGACAAGACCCATTTTTACTTCACCTATCATGCTCATATTGAGGATAGTAAATCTATGTTTAGAAAATTAACAAATTAATAAAAAAAAAAATGTAATAAAGAAATTATGTACTCGAAAGGTCCAGTGCCATAAATGGGTAGGACGGCGAGCACGCCGTCAACATCGTAACGATCACCAAGTGTATCAATAACGTTGAAGAGTAAATCAAAATTGATTTTCATTCGCAGCATGTCCATGTGAACTTTATTGATGGTGTAGGCAGAAATTCCATTTACTGTTACGTTATCAAATGACCCCTTAACACTAAAAAAAGTAAATTAAAATTAAAAATTATTTTTTAATTTAAAAATTTCAATCGTGTCACTCACTCGGCGGTCGCAGTCTCGATGTCAAACTGTCCATGAGGAACGAGGAGAGGGTCAAGAGGGGGAATACCAAGGGTAGGAAAACCCTGTTGCAAAGTCGCGCGGAAAGATTCTAAAATCGCCACCAAAGACTCATCGATTCCTCTTGGTTCAGCGTCAATTTTTACAAGAAATGATTCCAGTTCGGCAACTGACAAAAAACAAATTAGCGAAATAGTTTTTGGCATAATTATTATTTAGTCGTACTAAGTTGTTCAGACGTTAAATCATTGAAGTTCTGCGGCAAGGTGCTTTGGGGAAATGTGGTCGCACAGCCCACAAGAGCGAGCAACGTGAGGAAAACGAAATTTCTCATTTTCTACAATGTAAAAAAAATTTTATATCGAGAGTTGCAATTATATTTGAGCAGAAGCTCTTACCTTGAGATTGTAGTTTCAGGACGTCTGAGATGAAGATCAAGACCCGAGCCCCTTTTTATGCAAACCCTCCTCCTACGAGTGTGCACCTGAGTTTTCCAATCACATGCCGTAGCCATGATAATGATTTTTCTCAATAACCTGCTTATCTGTCTCGGTCAACCCATCTTAGGTTTCCCACAGTGGCGCGGACCCCGACGCACTATAATACTTGTTCTCTAGAGAGAAAGCTTAAGTGGCAATGTTTTGATTATCGCAGCGATTTTCTTGTTTTTCTGCGCCATTATCTGATTTGGAGACGAGATTTGACCTGTTAATGCACTCAATCTGCGCAATTTATAGCAATTTTTTTTCTTCAAAATAATATTTTCAAAATAAAAAGAAATTGAGGAGCATTTAAATAAAAAGCAAAAGGAAATATATTTGCTGATTTTCTTCTTCTTCTCTTTAAAATTTTTTCCAGAACAATTTTAAAAAGCACATATTCATTATATTTTCTAAGATTTTTCATTTGAAAAAGTAACTTTTCTCCCCCAGAGAAAATGTATCTTATGTGGAGTTGGAATAAATAAATTGAAAGGAAAATAAAAAAGGTGTATTAGCGATTCATTGTGTATCAATTTATTCTCTATTCAATAGATACACTGCAAAGGGGGGGGAAATAAAAACTGCAAATATAAGGCTGATCAGAATAAATTAAATTAATATTTTCTTATCATAACAACATGTATTATCAGTTTTAATCATAATTTTGTGTATCAACTTTATGTAAGATGTCGTGTATTTTCAATGCATTGAATGGATAATAAATAATCAATAATAATACACTTGATGAAATTTTTTGGAACCCTTTATTTTCATGCGCGCATTGAAAAAATAAAAATATGTGAATAACGTGATTAGTAAAGAGGATTTTTTCGGTCTTACCTTCCATTTATTTTTTATGCAGGCAGGCACAATAGTATTGAAATTAATTAACTCCACATTGCTACTTCCTACTACAAGGATTTCTTTTGGTTGAATCGGTTGAATAAAAAATTTCCAGACGTAAAACAAGTGGGCATTTCCCAGATAAGCTAAAGTGGGATAAAACCCGGATTTTATTGTATTAGCATAATTTTGTGTTTTGCAACATTATTAAAGTGGCCACTTGTAGTGCGAGTGCTTTGTGGGTGATTGACTGATTGATCTTTTGGCATGTTCGCCGGTCCGTTTGAAAATGATAGGAAAATAATGCTGAGCGCTATCAAATGTAGATGAGCAGATGCTCTCTTTTGTAATATCGAGTTACATAAGATAGTGTATAATTATACAGTATTTCTAATTTTCGTCTGCCTGTTAATTACCCCAATCTACAAGGTAAACTTTTGAAGACGATACTTAATTTATTAAATCATACCTTAAAATTCTTAGAATTATCATATAAAATATTCACAAATTGCGTTTATGTCAGTTATTTTTCAGCTACTTATATCTAAATAAATCATTGTTTGAAATAAAAAAAAAATAAAAATTATATTGAAAAATCGTTGGTGAAAAAATATATCAAACCATTTTTCTGGATATTTTTATTATTATTTTTTTTCCTCTTTAAACAATTTGACAGCACACTTATATTTTTAATAAATATATATATATATATATATATATATATATATATATATATATATATATATATATATATATATATATATATATATATATATATATATTTTTAATGAATTGCGTGTCTGCTTTTCACCAAAACAAACTTTTTAAAATTTATTATTTGCATCGAGGGCCGCTGGCACAAATGACAATTAAGATCTTAATGAGACCCTCTGGCTGCTTGATGCTGACAAGTGTCGTGATGATAGCCTATGTGATTTTATCGATGATTGGCTCCTTGCCTTCTCCAAAGATGATCGGAGCTCGGAGCAATTAAGCTGCATTATCTTTTCGTTAACAGCGCCGCCACTCATCACTCCCTCCATGTTGCACTGGTTTCAGTTATAAGAGAGAAAAATTAACAAAAATATCAAAATCATCTGCTATCTGTAAACTTAAAACAAAAATATTATATAAAAAATTATTAAAAAGTCTTCATTGGTGTAATTATATGTATATAATCAGCAAAATTTAAACAATTTTTTCTAATCGAAAACTAGAACTCTATATTATTTTCAAATGACTTTGCAATTCCATGTTTACTCTAAATTTTTAAATAATATTTAAAAATTTAGAAAATTTAAATTATATTTTAACGTTAAATAATAAAAATAACAAAAATTTATGCTTTTGTCAGTTTTTTTCTGTCTGAAATTGTGACTTTTTCATGTTTTCCATATTAACTGTTTAAATCGTTACAATTTTTACTTTTTAACTCGACTTGATTTTTATGTAACTTGTAAACTATATTTTTACATTATTTTTTATTATTGAAATGTAAATCTTCATATTTCTTTATATCTTATACATTTCTTTTAAATTTATTGAAACATGTTCAATAAGATAACGGTGCTGTTGAAGTGTTGATTTTGATCAGGCTGCTGGGAATAAACAAGGGCCTAGTTAAATGAAACCATACACACCAGGAAGCCCACATTCTATTTCCGCTCAAACACTCAAAAACGTTAACAAACGCTTCATCCAGTCCAGCCAAATAAGGAGCTTTTTCAACTGCTGAATGCATTCAGAAAGGGAGAAAAAATTGAATCTCAATTAATTTTTATTAATGTATATTTTTTACAGTAGGGAAAATAGCTGTCTGTAAAAATAATGAATTTTGATTATTTTTTTAAGATTTTCTTATCTCTTGAATGATTTTAATTGATAATTTTTTTAATGTATGCATAACATATTTTGGTAGTACCTATAAGGACACTCTGCAACCTGCAACTAATATTTTGTTTATAACCGAAATAAGATAAGTATAGGATAAATATTTAAAATAAATATAAAAATTAAAAAAAAAAAGAACGTAAATAACGTGTTCAAAAGAAATACCAGCTTTGTTCCCATTGGGCAAGTGCTTCGGCAGTCCTCCGTTGGGAAAGTGGTGGCGCGGGCTAGAAGGGTGAGAACACCCCTGTGAGCAGGAGACCTCTCATGGCGGGGGCTGCAAACGCCAAATGACACCTCGGTTATTGCATAATGCAGAACAAAGAGTCGGAAATCTTTCTTGCACGGAAGTTTTAGCATAAAGGGTTAAAAGTGTTTTTGTTGTGAAATCACAAGACAAAAGAGATGGTTGAATTTGAAATACCTTGATTCAAATTTTAAAATAAATCTTTTAGGGGGAATTTTTCTCAAAAATTGAATAATATAATTTCCATTACATTATGGTGTTTTAAAATTGATTTTTCAATTATTGGATACTTTTTAAACTGTTTCAAACATGAATTTTGTCGAACGGTGGTAGTTTGAGAAATTTCATGTGCCCGAAAACATAAATCGCTATAAGGTTGGAAAGGGCGCTGCTTTGTTTGCGCCCCTCGTTATTCACATACTGTTATTGTTGGTCTCTTTGTGGCACCGGAACGCTTTTTGCGCGCAGGGGATCAAATATTTTGGCCAAACTTTGCCGCTCTTGTTCACCTGTGCACCACACAAAAGGCCATTCATCCGTTTTCGAGCGCAATGTGTGCGAGGGTTGCTTTGTCTAGAGAGAAGTGATGGCGGTCGCAATAAAAAACCTGATCGCTGCGTTGAAATTTGTATATGATTTTTTTCTAATTTTAATTGCAATTATTTATTTATTGAAAAATTGTCCGTTGTTGCCAGTTGATAGCAAACAGGCTCTGCAGACGAAAGATTTGTGGCCACGATTTTCGCAATCGCGTGACCACGAAAGTGACTTTGGCCGCTGCAGTCGTGCGCTGCACTGAATAGCACAAGGCGAGCTGAAATCTAGCGCGCACACGGCTACCAAGTGTATAACTCAAAGCAAATTATGCCCATTTATCTGCGAGCGTCATTTGCATACAGGGGGATGCACGTAACTCGCCAGAGTGTATTACTGCTTAACTAGCACAATACAATTTTCCAAAGGAATAAGATTACAATAAAATTTAAAGCAATTATAATTATATTATTATTATAGCAGTGCAAATTAAAAAAAAATATAAATTTATCTTATGAATTTCGGGAATTTAGTTCTGCTAGACCTTACATCATGATTCTTTTTTTAAATAAATTTTGATCTGTAGCATTCTTTTCGGAGCAAACATTCTGTTGAATACTCTTTGACGGAAGTTTCACTGGAATTACATTTAAAAGTAAAAAATGGTAGATTTTAATATAATACACGTCAAACAATCTTAATATAATTTAATTATTTATTTTATTGAAATATTTCAAATGGTGTTTATTAATTATTTATTAAAAAAAAAAAAAAAACGCATATATTTACTTATTTTTTGTCTACCTTGATACACGTTTGGCGACAGCACGCCGCCAAGTCCTTTGTTCAATTTCAAAATACCGAAGATACGCGAATTGAGAGATATTTCACCATCGACTTTATATATATCTACCCCTTTTACTTTATACAGTTCTTCTTTCTTTTACAACTCTCGTTTGACCTTTCCGTTTTTATGGTGCAGTAGAACAGACGAGAATTCCTATTTCACTTTTAGAGTTCTCTAAAAGGAGCTCGTGAACCAGAGAAGCGGGAAAATCTGGCGAGGTTGAAGATATCTTACCTTTGACTGGCGCCGATGATTTAAATGATGTTTTGTGTGAATTGAAAAAAAATTCCTTTACCTAAATTCAATCAATCTTTTTATCACAAAAACAGATAAAATCTCTCCAACAATTTTGCAAAGAAAATTAACAATTTTGTCAAGCTGAAAGAGGAATTAAGTTTTCAGAGGACTTCCAATATCTGTGAAGCGGGGAAAGTAAAGGAAGTGTAACGCTTATTTTTTAATTCAATCAAACCCAAAGATGATATTAAATAAAGGCAACAAAGGATATAAATTTCAAGTGGGAAATGCGTGCAGTTTTTAATGCCTCTCCTTCTCCTCAATCATCAAGGAAAATCACCAAATGATAAATTTTGTTTTGCAAGGGCATACAAAATAAGTGCCGCCTGACGCTAAAATGGGCTCATTACTTGCAGTCCAGCGCAAAATTCTTGGACGCGAATAATAATTTAAAAGGCAAAGCGTTC